CTGAGGAATTCACACTGTTGTGGCTGGCTGGCTTTGGGGGATGGGGTTTTAGTCTGGGAAAATTTTTGCTTGGGGTTGTAGGTAATAAACATAACTGGACTGAATTTGCATTGTCTCTTGGAGTTCCTTGGGCTAGGCCTGACATCAATCTAAAAATGTTTATCTCCCTGAGCCTGTGATTCCATTCCATCACAATCAACAAGCATATCACAGAAAAACAAATTTCCCATAGAAAAATCAGTTCCAGTTAATACAGATGGAGTTTTGTAAAACTAAACTTTTAACAAATAAATCTTCCCCTTTTACCATAAGTAACTTTTTTTGTATTTTCCTTATCTTCCAACTTTTTGCAAATTGTTCAAATTATAATAAAACTCTAATTCTTCTTTCAAAGTTATAGTCCCAGAAATAATGAAAAAAATACCAAGAGAATACTTATCTGTTGCAAAAGAAGGTCTCTCTTATGTTGAAAAATAGTTATATTCCAAAGTGATTTAGAAACCGGGTCTGGCCAGCTCTAGTGCATGTTTAGGCTGCTCCACAGCTGTGAATGAAGATGGATCCCTCACCTCCCAGCTGCTGCTTGCAAGCTGTTCCCAGAAGCTTCTGTTTCTGTGATTAGTTTATGGGGAATGGCCATCCTGGAAACTGAATGAGTTGATTTCTCACTTCCTCCTTAATCTAGAGCAAGCTGGGTGGCCAGGACTTGCTGCTAGCCACCAATCCAGCTGCAGTTCTGTCTCCCTTCTTACAGAGATGACTAAGCCTCCATTGTCCCCACCAGAGGTCCCGTTATTTCAGATTTGTTATGGCCATCCACCTCAGCAGATTCTGGGTAGCTTACAAAATTCAAAACAAACAGTAAAAACAATTTTAAAAAATTAAAACAACCCAGATGATCCAGACTAAAACAACCACAATAACAAGAAACCACAGCAGGGACTCCGCAAACACTTTAAGTCCAGTCCTGTGACCAGAGCCAGGTGTTGAGGGCTTTCTCGAATTCCAGGAGAGATGGCTCCATCCATATCTCTGGGGAGGGATGCTACTCCAAAGAGTGGGGGCCATGACAGAAAAGGCACGCTTCCTCATTCCCACAATATGACAGCATTTAATAAAGGGGAGCTGGAACACACCCACTCTTTCCCCATGTTCTAAAATAGTAACAGATGAAACATGTCTTTGTGGCTGTTTTTATTTTCTATTAAAATTAACAAAATCTTAATTTAAGAAAATGATACGTAGGCTAAAAGGTGATAATACCGTT